ACAAGTCAAACAATAACTACGTCGGACATTTTTCAGCATTGACAGAAAATACTTCTGACACTACTAAAAAATAAAATGTTTCTACTTATTTAAAAATTTTTGGATAAAATCTATTTATAATTTACACGCTACACATAAACAGCAATATTTATTAAGTGTAAATTAGTAAAATAAATGGCACCTGAATAATGGCACCTGAATAAGTTGCGATATAACAGAAGTAATTGTTAACTTTCATGAGAGGAAAAATCTTTGTATCAAATAGCTACAACTCTAAAAATTGTCACATCAACGGTTTTTGACATAAAAAACACAAGAAAAGTGATATTATTGATCCAGGATTATAAAAAGAAAATTGTAGCAGCTTCCGATCTCACGTTCTTGTGTAAAATCAAAGAAAACTTGCGAGCATCACTTATAGAATTGGTGATTTAATAGAATGGTTGTGTCAACATGTGATTTTTCTTTTCAGGCTAAGAAAAACACCTGTTAATTGAGACTCAAATAAAACATTGACTAAAGTTAGGAAAATAATAAAATTGTGTGCAGCGATAGTAAAACAGTAGTGTTTTCAGCAATAAAGCCAAGTTTGAGTCTTGCATCGGAAGCGACAAAAAAGAAGTGATCCAAGGAAAGAACGGATTATTTCATTCTGAGTGTTTTAATCTTAGTTCCAAGAAAGCATTATGGTATTATGGAGTTGTATGACTGCTCAAGGTTTTGGGATTCTGTATTTTATCGATAGAGTAGTGAATTCAGAAAAATATTAGTAGATCCTTCAAGAAAGATTTCTTCGTCCATGCCTGCAAACTGCAAAACCCAAATATTAAAACTGGAAAAACTGCAAATCCAAATATAATTTTTCAACAGGATGGTACAAGTTGCCAAAGTGTCAAAACATGGGCACCATGATTTGCAAATTACAACATTAATGTGTTGAAATGGCAGTCTAGCAGTCTAGATCTTTTCCCATTGGGAATCTATGGGGAAAAATATCGACAGACAGTGATTGGCTTACGTCAAAAATTCAGGAAATCTGGGATGGAATTACTTAAGATGAGTGTCAGGCTCTTATTAATACAATATATGAACATGTACAAGCAGTAATACAGGCAAAAGGTGATATAACAAGATACAATTTAGCAGTGTCCGAAGTAGTTTTTGTCAAGCCTAGAATGTCCGAACTTTTTTGCCATTTATGCTTTATTTAAGTATTTATTTCTTTAAAATTAATGCAAGCACTTGCGTTTTGTTGTGATGAAGATTATTGTTTAAAATATAACAATTTTTGTAGACAAATTTATTGCCATTTTTTTTTCTTTTATGTTCAAAATTACTGTATATAACAGATTAAAATCAAGAAGTGTCCGAGATATTTTTTATTTGGGTTGTATATAATTTAAGTTAATACAAAGACAAACATGTAATTAATATACAAATTCAAAAGGTAAACACTTTATAAAAGTTTCTTCGAAAGTAAAACGAAGATAATTGTTGATCATGAATACAAGTAATTGAGATATTAGAAAAATATTATTATAATTTTAATAATTTATGAAATTAAAATATAAGCATACTTATAATTTTTTAAAACAGATTTGATTTTATACTTATTAGAAAATGCATGAAAAATTAGTTCTTTGTTATTTTATTAATGCAAAATATTATTTTCTTACTGTAAATGTAGTTTAAAAAAACCAATTATTNTTACGTATCTTAACTAAGTAAAAACTTGAGATATGTTAATTAATAGTTTTTAAATATATAATGTCAAATTAAATATTCAACAAAAATTCCTATTTATAAATTTATTACACAATTGCTAAATTAGAGGACGGAGAGACTTAATAAACCATAATTAACGCTTTAAAAAATATGTTTTTTTTACATCCCCGAAGAGTGCCATGTAAAAATTTCAATCATACCGTAACAACCATTAATTAAATCAATTTATCAGGAATATTATCACGTAATATTTAATGACTCTTCATCTACGTTTGTTCGTTATAGACTGTATCGATTAGTTAGAGTAATAAAATTGACTCAAAGTCGATGCCATTCTAAATTTCAAGTGATACCGATCATAAGCTACAGTTTATCAATATGCATTTATATGAATGACTCTTTGGTGAATTGTATGAAATGACACAATTTAATGGTTATAAATATAGATTATGTGTTATTCTGCATGAAAATGTTCACATATCTTAATTAAATATTTTAATTTTGCATTTTTTTTAAATTAAAAAATCAAATAAATGAGTAAATTTTACAAAAATAAAATTAATAATTATGTGAAACATTTCTTATAACTTCAGGCATTTTAATAAAAATTATAAAAAATTTATTCGCTTTCTTCTCCTGAAAATATCGTATATTTCGTCAATTTTTCATATATTAAATACAATGTAATATATAACTAAAATATTAAAATAACAGCTTATTTTTGAATAATTTCTCCATAAATAATATATGAATATGTTTAGAGATTTTAGACAACCAGGCCCATCTAATTCTAACAATCAAACAATAAAGCCTAATTAACTATTGAGCTAAACTTGGCTAATTAATTTCGTATATATTTAATAATTTGGACTTAAAGTAGATTGTTACGCACTGTCTTGTATTAAATTTAATAATTATATTTATACTTATTTTCGAATGAAATTAAATAATTTAGACTATTCTAATATAATATAATATATATATATAGGCCTATATATTCTTCTTAAAAACTGATTTTAATTAATAAGATTTAAAAACTAAAAGGCATATCGAATATGAATAATTCTATATATTTAAATTGTTTGCATTAATAGAATATTACGTATCAATCGTCTTTTTATTAGATAAGTTTAGTATTGAGTTTCTTGTATAAATGATACAAAGATGAATTGCATTTAATCTTCTCGAGAAAATCGTCTTAAACATTAATCTTCGCATTGTCCTCTTGCCTTTTATATAAAATACACTTATAAATTGAAGAATACTTTGTCTCTTTAACTTACTTTCGCATTAGTAAATTAAAATTATATTCCTTAAATATTATGTAGATTATACTTTATTAAAGGAAAAATTCGCTTAAAATAGAATATAATTCAATAATAAGATATATGTTTAGTGTAGAACAAAAAGTTTTGAATTTAATTTGATACACAAGAGAAAACGTTACTTATAATGACAAACGTTTTTCTTTACGATAAAGTAGAACAGGTCAAATGGGATTTACGTTCTCTTTCTAGCAAAAAATAACTCTGAGCTATAGAAGCTTGCGAGTATTCCAGACAGGAAAACAATTAGAATCTAATAACAAAGGCTAATAACATAAAATACATCAAAATGTTCTTTTCTTTAAAATAGTAAATTAAAAAATAATAAACACAGTTATTTAAATTATAATTTCTTTTTACGTTTATTATTTATTGAATAAATGAGTTTCCGTGCGGAAATATGCTCCACAATAAGAATATAAACTAAATAAGTAATTTCCTGAAGAATCTAATCCTCTTCGAAAATTTTCACGTGAGCATTGTCCAATCAATGTCTAACTTTATTTCATCGAGGTCATCACTCTCTCAAGAGGTCATTGTAGGGTTCACCTTCACTGCATTTGGTATTGTTGTTGAAGATAACGATGCCACCCCAATGTTACGCACAGTACATTTCTTGTTAACAGAGTAACTATAGCGGTTTTATTCTTAGTTTCTTTGTATTTTATATCAATAAAAGGCCACTATTGTCCATTTTACATACAAAATGGAACATTATTTATATAAATTATGTTTCTAATCGAATTAATTAATTAGTTAACGTGAAACGCCAAACAATAAGAATATATAATCCATCACAATTTTGTCCATTATGGGCAGACCTAATCAGCAATAAGATCGGTGTCATCGGTCGTAATTATGAGAACGACGTTTCGATCACTCCTATCCATAATAAATTGCGAAATCTGAAACGGATTCGAAAATAGATCCTCAAGATGAGAGCTCTATTAATATCTCACGGCCATTTGGTTCATTATAACACGCGCAATATTAATGAAACAGAAAAAAAATTATCCTATGAGTTTAAATTGTGTACTAAAGAATTTAGCTTAAATTCAAACATGCAAAAAATTGCCCTTTCGAATTATTCCCAAGAATACTTTCTGATAATACATCCTCGATTATTCCTAGATTTTTCTAAAGACCTATATAATATGCATGGAATATTCTTCTTATTCAATATAACAAATCATGATAGTTTTATGTATTATGTGTGATACATATGCATGATGTATATAGGCGTGATAACTAAACGCATTGAAAGATATAAATAATTTTTTAAAATGAAAAGAAAACTTTAATAATTTATAACTTCAAGAAATGCTTACAAGTAATTATTCACATTCATTATTTTAACTAATTTATAATTACACCAGAAACAAATTAGCAAATATTTTTATAGAGGCATCTATTTATTTTACATTTGAATATCTCTTGAAGTAGTTCTAAATCGATGTAAAAGAAGAAATGTCCCGAGATAATTATCGGAACTGCTGGTAATTCATGTTATTTAATCAGAAGGGTCTCTTTCAACACTTTCAAAAGATGGCAATATTTTATCTTTTTGAAAAGACAAAGAATTGTTCTCTTTTGAGAGTTGTAAAATTCTTATTATCTTCTGTATTTAGGAGCGTGGCGTGGAATGGAATTTAGTTTAAAGTTATTTACTTAGTTTAATACTTGTCAATTTAATGTTCGCAACATTATCGACGAGAAATTTCGTAATTTAATACAAAACGAGCGTATCGTTAATGCAAGAATTCATTTGATCAATTCAAGTTTATGTGATTTGTCATTTTATAAATAAGTTTGTTTATTTGAAAAACTGTAGCATTTCTAGTAATAAATCTTAAAATCCATAGAAGGTTTCATTGAAAATTTTAATTGTCCTAAATCTTCTTGTTAACGAATTAGTTTTATTCATTATACAAATTTATTCTTTACGTAAACTTACGTGTAATTAAACTTATCAACGGCGACAGACATGTGACGCGGATGTTCTGGACAACTGTAAAAGTTTCTGTCATCTTCAGGAATGAGATCAACGTCATGGAAGACAAAACAGTGGAAGTCGAATTCTCTAAGAGCTTCTTTAACTCCGGCATTCATTAAAACACCTTTATTAAAAGTATCTTCCCCGTACTAAAAAAATTTTAAAACAATTTTTTAAAATCTCTTTTGTGAAATATTTTAAAAATATAATTAAAGCTTTATTGAAATAATGATTGTTGCAAAAGAAAAATATATATATATATATTAAAATGTAAAAATAATTATAGGAAATTTCAAAGTAAAAGATCAATGTTCAATTTAACTTAAAGTAGATTTTCGATTTTAAAAGGTTATGCTCCTCTTTACAGAAGTTTTATATTGATCTTATAAAATTATGGTTACAACTTTTTAAACCTTAGTTTTATAAAAAGACTTTTCTCATCACGTATAATTCAAATATATTTTTATTTTTTTCGTAATTTATTAGAATTTAAAGCTTCTCACGTCTCACATGAACGAGTACGAAATAACAAGTCTGGAGAGGATAACGAGTTCTTTGTTTTTCAGTTCTTGTATTAAGAACTAAAAACATTATTTTGTGAGAATGTGGTTGCTGTAGATATTTGAAAATATTACATTAATAAAATTAAAGAGTTATTAAGAAAATTCTCTTCTTTCTTTTGAAAACTTAACTGAATTAAGAAGCATAAATAAGTTCTCTATAAATTCATCAATATAATCCGATATTTGTATTCTGTGATAGACACGCGTGTTTAAACATCAGAAAATAACGTTATGAGCTGTTGATATGCTAATTTTAATAATGATGACAACCACTATTTGAATTAAAGATTTAATAATAAGACGGAAAACTTAATATAAGCCTACTATATATATATATATTTTTTTATCTTAAAAGATGAATAAAAACTAAACATTAAATTAATAAAAAGCATTTTATGAGATACTGGATAAATATATATAATATTTCTATTTATTTAATTATGTTCAAAATAACTTGCCAAACTACTACTTTATTCTAAAATATTTTGGACCAATATTCAATATCATATAAATCTATTATTCTAATTTGAACCTAAGTTTGACTAATCGTTTCTAATATACCCGATAATGAGAAATTAATTACTTAAATTGTGTAAATATATTGTGGATAAATTCACGAAGAACAGAGAAGGAATATATGCCCCTATACAATTAAAAATTTAAGATAAATATAAAAAGAAAACTTATGAAAAGCACTTGATTACTCGTGTGACTTTCTAATAGTTACTGCTTGATTTATTTATCTTTATTTAATAAATGTATAAACCTTGTTTGATTTATCTATAAAAGTAATTTTATGCACAACTATGCGAAAAATCTTAAAAATTGTTCAGAGTATCAGATACATAGATTAAAGTCATGCATCAATATAGATTCCGTTTGAATTAAAATTTTTGTATATTTTATTTTTTCCGATGCCCCATTACTATGAAACTTGGATAATGAAACTTATTCCTCATTTTATTTACTGTTATAGGGTCTTTCTATTAGACAAATTATTAGCAAGAATTACGTAAGATTACCTTAATAATATATACAAAACGCATTTTATAATTTGTAGTAATCTATTTATATTACAACAATTCCAGATATTAAAAAAAGAAGAAAAACCCAGTCGACTATCCAAACTGGCAACTGATGTTCTAAATTAGTTACGATATTTTATTATACTTTTCTATTATTTTATAATCATGGATTAACCCTCTGTTGAAGTAGACAATGATCCCGATCAGTTACAGTCAAGACTATAGTTTACAGCTTAAAACTAGATAAAAGGATAAGCTATCACTCTTTTTCAATCGGATTTAATCAATCAAATATAAATTAAATTTCTGTGTTGTTCATTCTCAGACTTTTTTTCATTAAGATGAAAGCAAGAACCAGCCACTTTACATTGAATTCAATGATATAATCTTCAAAACTTAATAATATTTAATAAATATATACTAACATATTTTAAAAGATATATTTATAACAAGTTTTATGGGAAGCTTAATGAAGAATTTTAATATTATATATATATATGGAAGTAAATTATACGAAGCCTGCTAATGATAATTTAATCAACATGGCAGCAGTGATGTGCTGCGGCTATTTACCATAATAATTGCCTACTTGCAGAACGTACCGGAAATTTATTGTTTATACCAGGCCATATTGCATTAAATGACCTTTTCAACAGTTGTAATGAGATTCGAGGGATTTGATTTCCGAGCTGTTTCGATGCATATAAAGAATAGGAAAGATTAGATCTGTTGAATTAGATCATCGAAATGCACTATATTTATCTAGAAACCATTTCGTTCTGAACTAAGCTAACAAAACATTTTAGTTTGAATTTTAAAGCACTGTTCATTGTGAAAATTTCTAATCGTTCATGTATGAAATACGTCCTATTTCATACTAATCGGAAATTCTAATAATATTGACACTTGTAGAATATAGGAATCGTGTTATATGAATAATTGAATATATTATATAATCGTGACCATTAAAATGAAATTTGTTATGAAATTTTCTAAATGAAATACAATCTCTGAATAAATTCAAAACGTTGAATTAATATAGTTTATTCATATCTTATCGGCTAAAATATTGTAAAAAAACGACTTAATTCAATTCAGAATGATAAATTAAAAATTGAATTTTATGAAAGTGAATTTATTTCGCATTGATTTGATCGAATAGCTATCTTCTTACCACTCCATGGCCTATGCTTGGAATCAACTGTCAGGAAGTATTTTCCTTTCTATGGCTAGTATTTCGAGCAGCAGGAAATTGTTATTCTGATCATTGAATTCCTTCATTTGGTTAACAAAACATGATTAAAATTTGGCTTCTTCTCGAGATTTTCGATACTAAACAGTCTCGTAGTGGAATATAGTTTCAAATTAGCATGCGTGCGATGCTCTCGAGTAATTAACGAAACTAAAAATATAATCAGTTTTTATAGAACTTCTAACTATCGCCATTTACCAGAAAATGAGAGCCGTTCGCTTCATTAAACACGACTAATTTACTTCCTTAAAGAGATCAATGTAATTTCCACCAAAGAATATCGTATTGCATCAGTCATGTTATTCAGACAAATATATTCTAGTTTTACTAAGTTTTATTGTTGCTACTTATTAAACTTGCTAAACAAACTAACATTCATTGCTTTTATACCTTTATATAATATTTTTAGTCTCTAAAGCATTTTAATTCAACCATCAGTAAAGTTATATCTCAGAAAAATATTGAAGAAAATTATTACGCTTCAATTCTTTCATAAATTTTTGAATTAATTAATTTTTTTATTATTTTATAATATAAAAAAAGATTTAAAAGGTAAAAAACATTTTATGCTGGTCACTACATTTTTTCAATCTCAGAATGCATGTTCAGGTAAGCGTATAAATTCTGTCACGAACAGAGCCTCCAGTCATAAATTTATTTCTTCAAAAATATTTGCCAACTATATATTCAATACGTATGGCAATATAAGCGTATTTTTGAACTTTTAAAAATATTAAAAACTCACCACCGATGGAAGAAACACTGAAAAAAAAATACATAAAAACATCTTCAAAATTCCTTATCACACACTTAAAGAACAAAACAAGTTAAATGGCATTGTTGACCTTTTATTTTGAGGATCTCTTCCGTCTCAATATGTAAAAACCTGTTAAAATCGTCCATCTGGCAGTGGCAAAATATCAAAATATATCATTGATAAACTGTTCGGTCGAATATACAATTAAAAATTCAGTAGAATAGAAGAAAGACTTTAAAAAATATGTTATTAATGATATACTTTCACACCGTGCCACAAAGAAACGATTTTGATAGGATTTTTACATATTGAGGTGAAGTGTCTCAAAATAAAAAGCCAATCTATGTAACTTTTCTATGTTTTTGAGTTGTGGGAAACGAATAAATTAAGAAGACACTCTTTTATATTTATAAAAGAGTGTTCCTTCTCTCCAAGTGAATTTTTAATTGCATATTCGTCCTGGATGTTTTATTAATTTTAAAAATATGTTAGAAATTTTAATATAGATAAATAAATATATGAAAATATATTCTACGTTCGCAAAGTATTGTTATCTTGTTAGCCAAGTCTTGATTATATAAAAATATAATTTAATAAATATTTTATATTAAACTTATTTTCTTTCTCAAACAGCTTTACGTTGTCACAGTTGACGAAAGTCTGATGTTGCAGCAAAAAAGAACAGAAGCTTTTTGAAACTTATCGATTACAAGAGAAATTTTGAGAAATGAGAAGATTTTAAGTAAAATCGAAGGAAATTTGTCAGAAAGTGATGCTTTAACGAGTTCTTTCTAATGATATATAAGTGGGTTATTTGGTATAGATTTTATTCGATACTCTCACTGGAAATTTTATTCTAGGTAATCTGTAAGATAAATAATAACAAAGATGAAACCATAAGACAGTAAAAACAATTTAAATAAACGATATTCACTGTATCAGAAAGTTATAACGATTTTTTTAGCGAAAAGAAAACAGCGTCACAGATCTGTCAGGAGAGACATTCGTGACAAATTCGATTTTAACCTTTTCTGGCGCCGAACACATTTATCCGTTTGTATCTTTCTTATTTAATTCAGAAAATTCGAGAAATCCGATTTTATTTTCTCAATATCGTTTACTTCTTATTTTGAATTGAGATATTTCAATTTTATTTATTTAACTCAGATTTTTTAAATGAGAAAGAAATAAAATCAAATATTTATTTACTTGACGAAATACTTTTGATTAAACTATTCCCATGCTTAAGGGTATAAAAATGTAAGTAAAATAAAAAATTATTAATTGAAAACTTTGCAAACATGTCAATAAATATAAATGGAATGAAAAGATCAAGTTTTTAAAAGAGATTCTGTATTTATATTGATAAATAACTTAAGGATTTTCAGACACGATTAAATGAATACGTATCAAATAATAAGAGGAAATTTGAAGAGCAAAATGATTTTTATAAATCTTAAATGGAATATACATTTTAAGACAAATCTCATGTTAATATTTGAAGTAGAAAACTATTTATAAAGTTAAATGCTATTAATATATGAAACGAATA